AAAAGAAAAAGAAGAAAAACAAAGACAAATAAAGTGTTTGATAATTGTAGTTATTACTACTTTCTCATCTCTGGCCCAATGTTGGTGCCATTACACTAAATTAAATTCACTTGCTATTATGTGCCTTACACAACTCTTTCTCAATGTTATGAAAGAAAATGTTTATTAAGTTGCAATTCTGAGAAGCCTAGAGCTTTATACAGCTCTGAGTTACTTAACAACCGATTTTTTTTTTTTTTTAGACAAGGTCTTGCTTTGTTGCCGAGTGGTGTGCAGCGGCACAGTCACAGCTCACTGTAGCCTCAGCCTCCTGGGCTCAAGCAAAGCTTCCACCTCAGTCTCTCGAGTAGCTGGGACGACAGGTGCATGACGCTACATCAGGCTAATTTTTTTAACTTTTTGTAGAGATGGGGTCTCCCTCTGTTGCTCAGGCTGGTCTCAAACTCCTGCACTCAAGCAATCCTCCCACCTCCGCCTCCCAAAGCAGTAGGATTACAGGCGTAAGCCACCACACAACAGCTCTAAACAACTGCTTTTTGTGGAGAACAGAGACCAGTGTTTGTCTTGTGCCAAGTGTGAGCCTCATGGTGTTTGCATAGCCTCTACACAGGGTAGCAGCTGCCTAACAATCTATGCTTTGTGTACTGGCATGGCAAACTAGATTTATAATCTTCCCCATGTAAGAGGTCTACTGAATTAGGACACACCCTCCCTTAGAGTCAGTTTGCTCTGTCTGAATGGAAACCCCAGGCACCATTCAGAGTGATTCTACCATGAGATAAATGTGGTGTCTACCAAAGGTCCGTGTGTGCACAGGTCACTCTCAGGCAGGGGACCCTCGAAACCATGCAAAGGCCTTCCCAGTCTAAAAAGAAAATTGAAAATCCTGCCTATACGGGACTGCAGTTTGTGTAAACTGTATGTCTTCCACATTCTATAGACTTCCCACTGAATTTTAGGAGAAAACAACGCTAGAGATGAATTTCATCTGTAGCATCCAACTGATATTTCTAATATATGTCTTAGGGGAGAAAAACAAAAAACAAATATATGCCATGCTATACAAATTGACTGCAAACATAATTCATTTGACCAGCCCTCTTGGGAATGTGCTGCAGTGACTGACTTTCAGAAATCCCATCAATCAAACCTCAGCATGGGCGGCTCCACACCGGCCATTCGCTCAGCAGCAACTCATACCAGCTATCAACTACTCTCAGGACTCGGGAGGTGAACTGTAGCCAGAGGTGAGGCAGAACTCAAGTTCCAAGTAAAAGGTGACTTACCTAAAGCCAGTGGACTGATAATAAAATAATGAAATTGGCCAGGCACAATGGCTTACGCCTGTAATCCCAGCACTTTGGGAGGCCAAGGCGGGCAGATCATGAGGTGAAGAGATCGAGACCATCCTGGCCAACATGGTGAAACCTTATTTCTACTAAAAATACAAAAATTAGCTGGGCATGGTGGCGCACGCCTATAATCCCAGCTACTCAGGAGGCTGAGGCAGGAGAATCGCTTGAACCTGGGAGGCAGAGGTTGCAGTGAGCCAAGATAGCACCACTGCACTCCAGCCTGGCAACAGAGCAGACTCTATCTCAAAAAAATAAAATAAAATAAATAATGAAATAATGCTCAGATCTAAAAATGCCTCTAACAGGAAGAGAATATGCCAACAGCAAAAAATATGAAACACAAGAACAAGAAACTCTGAAAAAAAAAAAAAAAAACTTGACTCAGGAACAGCCTCATTAGCCTCAGGGCCGCCCTTGGGCAAAGCCTTGGGAAACTTTGCAAGTCTACTTCATAAAATTCAACCAAGGGCGCGGTTTTGTTTGCCAGATGTACCATGACTGTTTTTTTTAACCATCTGTTTTCTACTGTGAGACATCACAAGCACAACAAACCAAGCCACTAAAGCCAGGATTTCTGTGGCCTTCTAAAGAGGAATAAGCCACAGAAAACAGCAACCCAGGACCCCTTGGCAGGCCTGCCTCTGGGGGTCCACCCTCTTGGGTTCCACCCTTGTGGGCGTTCAGCAGAGGAGAGGCCCCACCACTGTCTGCAGCTTTCACGTCACCACTTTCCACTGGGCACCATGCTGCCCACCTGTGGTTTCTCTCCTTTTTCATATGTTTGAACTTCCAATTTGGAACTCATATAGACATTTCTCCTGTTAAAAATACTTGAGGTTTCCAACATTTTTGAAGTTTCCTTTGCTCCTATAAAACATTCATCTGAAACTATCCATTCATCAGCTAGCTGAGAGGAAAGGGTCCAGGAGGTGACTGGGTCTCTTTATGTCCCACTCAAGTGAAAGTCCCTGCAGCCACCCCATGGTCCAGGGGAGAAAGAAACCAAATACTTCAGAACCTTCGAGACTCTGGCTTACATCTATAGAGAATCTTTTTTTTTCTTTCTTTTTTCCTTTGTTTTGTGTGTGTGTGTGTGTGTGTGTGTGTGTGTGTGTGTTGTGTTTTGTTTTTGTTTTCTGTTGTTTAATTATTTTTTTTTCCACCTATAGAGAATCTAGATGTGGAAGGGACCCTGAGAGGTCATTTTATTCTCTCTGCCTTTAAACATGGCTATATCTAGTGCCAAATACTGAAAAGTTCACTGTCCTCACATAAAACAAAAAAAAAAATATTTAAAATTTGAATATTCTTCTCTTTCTGAGTGAAACATAACTTATGTAAAGCTGAAGCTAAAAATCAGTTTTCTGATTATAAAATTTTTGGAGGTCAGGCACGGTGGCTCACACCTGTAATCCCAGCACTTTGGAAGACTGAGGCAGGCAGATCGCCTGAGGTCAGGAGTTCGAAACTAGCATGGCCAACACAGTGAAACCTTGTCTCTACTAAAAATACAAAAAATAAAAAAATTAGCTGGGCATGATGGCATGCACCTGTAATCCCAGCTACTGGGGAGGCTGAGGCAGGAGGTGAAGGTTGTATCCCAGGAGGTGGAGGTTGCAGTGAGCCAAGATCGCCTCACTGCACTCCAGCCTGGACCACAAAGCAAGACTCCATTTAAAAAAAAAAAATCAGAACTTTATTAGAGCCAAGTTGTTCTGTCTCTTGCTCATGTGTACATGTGCACATCATGCTTCACAGATGCCCTTAACATGTGCCTCGTCTGTCTATTGAGTAACCTCCTACCCAGAGGTTAGAAGGTTAGGAGAAATCTTTTTCTCAGATTTCTAAAAAAATAAAATAAAAAATCCTCCTTTGCTCACAAACTCTTGGCAAGGTCAGGAAAGAGCCTGGCCCAACCAGCAAGATTCCTACCAGAGGTCCCTTTCCAAGACAGCACCGGCAGAATAAACACCACTGCTTATTTAGTCTGGCCCACTGTTGACCCTTTTCACATTCCTAAAACTTTGGTTCAGAATAGATCTTCCCCTCACAATGAGATGTGTAGTTCAACCAGGAAGGAGCAGGTTGGCATATTCAGTCTGTTCCTTCGTTGGTGAAATGAGCATTATAATTATATCATGGGGCTGGGTGAGGTGGCTGATGCCTGTAATCCCAGCCCTTTGGGAGGCTGAGGTGGGCAGATCACCTGAGGTCAGGAATTCGAGACCAGCCTGACCAACACAGCAAAACCCCGTCTCTACTAAAAATACAAAAATTAGCCAGGCATGGTGGTGCCCCCCTATAATTCTAGCTACTTGGGAGGCTGAGGCAGGAGAGTTGCTTGAACTCTGGAAGGAAAGGTTGCAGTGAGCCGAGATCGCGCCACTGCTCTCCATCCTGAGTGACAGAGCAAGACTCTGTCTCAAAAAATAAATAAATCATAATTACATCATGGGGGTGTTGTGATTACAAAATAAGGTGAAAAATGTGAAGTGCTTAGAACAGTATCCAGTACATTATAAAAGATGACTAAATGATAATGATCATAGAAGTGATAATTACTATTTAAAATAAATGTTCACTTGATGCCTGTGATTATCCAAGTTCCAATAAGCAGAAATCAAACAACTGTGTACAATTGTTACCTGCTTCATCTTCAGCAAAGGAGATGATGAACTTGCTATGGGTCCTGATCAGCCCTGGGAAGGCACAGGACGTGGTACTGCCCAGGCAAAGATCCTGCTTCTTCCATTTCCTGGTTTTTCTATCTTCCTGCAAAGCCATAAGTCGACTAGATGAAAAATAAAACCTTATGTTTTAGGAATCCATATATCCACTCTACAGAATACTTTTTTCTCCTAGAATCAGGGATGCCTGAGTACTAGGACTGAGTCTCCCATTAAGAGATGAATAACTGGCCTCCCTCCAAGCACCCAAAAAGCTGCTTCAGAGCTACTTCAATCACCCACTTGTCATAGATGTGGAAGTTCACATTCTACAATAGAAGGAGTTCGGGTCAGGCCCAGTGACTCACACCTGTAATCCCAGCACTTTGGGAGGCTAAGGCAAGCAGATCACTTGAGATCAGAAGTTCAAGACCAGTCTGGCCAATAGGGTGAAACCCTGTCTCTACTAAAAATACAAAAATTAGTGGGACAGGGTGGTGCATGCCTGTAGTCCCAGCTACTTGGGAAGCTGAAGCACAAGAATTGCTTGAACCCAGGAGGTGGACATTGCAGTGAGCCAAGATCATGCCACTGTACACTCCAGCCTGTGTGACAGAGTGAGACTTCGTCTCAAAAAAAAAAAAAAAAAGAATCACTGCATTTTAACCAAATGACGTGTGTATAAGGGCAGGGTGGTGAGTGGAGGTTGTAGGGAAAAAACCATAAAGAACAACGAAATCTCAGAGATCTAGAAAGTGATGATAAAGGACCTGAATAGAAATCAATAGCAGTAACTTCACTCCATCTCCATAACCAAGAATTGCAGCATGAAAATAGAACACCTTTTCTAACAGGGACCAGATTTACTCTCCCATCTTAAACAGTCCAAAACCTGAACAAGATAGAATAATAATGGCTTAAAAGATTCTGAAGTTCAGGCAGTATAGTAGCATGTTCTCTGAGAGATAAGAAACAAGCAAGGTAAACCCTATGATTGTTCCAACATACTACCTTGAGAGTTTCCAGCACAGGGAGGGAAAATACAGGCAAAGCCCAGCAGGCTCCTTGAGCTGAAAAGACATTGCTGAGAGTCCAGGAAGACCAATGCAGTAAGAGATTGCAGGACAGATACTGGAGAGAAGGAAACTGCACAGAGAATGAACGCCGGAGAGCTGCAAAAGGTTCCCCTGAAGTAATCATCAGAACACTCGACAGCAGGTACATGTGAGAAAGTATTTTAAAACAAAGGAAAGAATGAGTACCAAATACTTGGTATTTACTTGGGATCAGGAATAGTATAAGTATCACAGGGCATAGGTGGAATTCAGTTGTGAGGAATAGAAAGCTCTAGAAAAAGCACTACCTTGATTCTATTTAGCAAATATTAATAGCAAGACCTGAAAGAATCACACTACTTCCAGAACACTATGTCTCCAAGAGAAATTCAAAGTCATTTATAGTAATACAAAAATATCCAGCACCTACCGAGTTAAATTAATGATTTCTGGCATCAAATCAAAAATTATGAGGCAAGTAAAAAAGGAGAATATCACCCATAATAAAGAGTAAAATCTGTCCATTGAAACTGACACAGAACTGATAAAGATGTTAAAATTAGCACACAAGAACATTCAAACAATTATTCTTAACTATATTCCATATGTTCAATATAGAGATATGAGAGATGCAAAACAGACCCAAATCAAGTTTCTAGAAGTGAAAAAATACATTGAGATTACACACACACACACTCAGTGGGATGAATGGCTGGCTAGACATTACAAAAGAAAAGATTCATGAACTAAAGACAGAGCAATGGAAACTACCCAAAATTAAACACAAATAAATTTTTTAACATAAATAGATCATCAGTGAACTGTGAAACAACTTTATGCAGCCCAATATACATGTAATTAGAGCCTCTGAATAAAAGGAGAGAAGGGGTGGGAGACAGAGGAAAACATATTTCAAGATATAATGGCCAAAAATGTTTCAAATTTCATGAAAACTATAAATCCACAGATCCAATAACTTCGACAAACTCCAAGCACAGGAAATATGAAGAACACCAAACTAAGGCATATCTTGATGAAATTGCACAAAACTAATGATAAACAGAAAATCTTAAAAAGCGTTCACAGGGAAAAATAATGACATATTACATATGAGGAAACAAACAGAAGTCTGACAGCCAATTTCTCATTGGAAATGATGCACACCAGAAAATAGTGGGGCAACCTCTAAAGAATCAAAGAAAAAAATATGTTAACATAGACTTCTACACGCAGTGAAAATATCTTTCAAAACTAAAGGCAAAATAAAGACTGCAAATGAAAATAATTCATCACTATAGACCCCATTGACAAGAAATGTTACAGGAAGTTCTTCAGACAGAAGAAAAATGATATCAGATAGAAACATGCATCTGCCCAAAGGAATTGAGAGCATTAGGAATGGTAACATTCTTACTGCCACTCTAACAACTTACCACAACTACAAATTACCACAACCTTGTGGCTTAAAACAACATACACTTATTCTTTTATAGTTTTAGATGCCAGAACTCTGAAATGGTCTTCACTGAGCCAAGATCAAGGTGTTGGCAGGACTGTGCTCCCTCCAGACACTCTGGAGGACAGTCAAGGTTTCCTTACTCTTCCCAGCTTCTGAAGGCTGTCCCTATGCCTTGACTCAAGGCCCTCATCTTGTCACCTTTTCTCCCTCTGCCTTTGTTGTCACATCACCTTCTATCTCTCCCAGCTTCAAATTTCCCCCTACCTTTCTCCTCTAAACACCCTTGTGATTTCATTTAGGACCCACCCAGAAAATCCAAGATAGTCCTCCAAGTCATATACAGTATGTTCTAAGACCACAGTAAATAGAAAATAGAAATCAATAGCAGGAAGATCTCTGGAAAATCTTTAGATATTTGGAAACTAAATAGCACACTTTGAAATAACTCATGGGACAATGAAATCAAAAGGTAAATTAGAAAATGTTTTTAACTGAATAAAAATGAAAACACAATATATCAACACTTACAGGATGCTGCTAAAGTAGTACTTGGGGGAAAATTTATAGCACTAAACACATATATTAGAAAAGATGAAAGTCTCAGATCGATTACCTCAGCTTCCATCTTGAGAAACTAGAAATAGAAGAGCAAATTAAACCCAAATCAAGAAAAAGGAAGGAAAAAGAGAATAAGTCAATGAAATTAAAAAAAAACATTAAAATAACAGGAAAAAAATCAATGAACACAAAAGCTGGTTCTTATAGAAGATCAATAAAATGGATAATCCTCTAACCAACTGCATCTAGAATAAGACAAGCAACATCACCATTGTTTCTATAGATATTAAAAGAATAATAAAGGAATATTATGAACAACTGAATGCCAATACACTTGACAACATAGGTGAACTGGACAAATACCTTGAAAGGCACAGACTACCAAAGCTCACTCAGAAAGAAATAGATAAACTGAACAATTAACTCTAATAAAGGAATTAAATTTGTAATTAAAAGTCTTTTTACATAGAAAACGTCAGGCCCAGATGGTTTTCCTTGGAAGGAAGGACACATAAGGAAGAAATAATACCTATTTTACACAAACTCTTCCAGATAATTGAACAGGAGTACTCCATTCTATAAAGCCTGTCTACCCTGATTCCAAAGTCTAACAAATACATTACAAAGAAGAAAAACTGTAGTTCATTATTAATTCATGAACATAGATTTTAAAATTTCAAACAACACGTCAGCAAATCAAATCCTTCCATATAGAAAAAGGATGGGGCCAGGGCAGTGGCTCATGCCTGTAACCCCAGCACTTTGGGAGGCAAGGTGGGAGGATAGCTTGAGGCCAGGAGTTCAAGGCCAACCTGGGCAACATAGTGAGATTCCATCTCTACAAAAAAAAAAATTTGTTTTTAATTAGCTGGGTGCCACCAGCTACTTGGGAGGCTGAGATGGGAGGATCACTTGAGCCCAGGAGTTTGAGGCTGTAGTGAGCTACGATCATGCATTGCAGTCCAGCCTGGGTTACAGAGCAAAAGCTTGTTTCAAAACATAATAAGATAATGCATTATGACCAAGTGGTATTTATCCTCAGAATGCAAGACTTCTCTAACAATTTTTAAATCAATCAATAAAATTCACCATATTAAGAAACTAAAATTTTTTTAAACCCACATGATTCAGCAAAAGATGAAAAGAAGCACTTGACAAAACTCAACATCAGTATCAAATACAAATTCCCCAAGGACTAGAAATCAAAGAAAACATCCCCAGCCTGATAAAGGGTGTGTAGAAAACACCTGCAGCTGACATCATATTGGTTGATGTCACACAGTAACATCACACTAATACCATGGTGAAAATGAATGCTTTCCCCATTTCTATTCAACACTGAACTGAGATTGATAGAGCAATAAGCCAGTTAAAAAATAAGAACAAGCTTCCAATTTTTAACTAGAAAGTAAAAGTGTCTATATTCACAGACCTTTTAATAAAATGACCTTTCACATAGAAAATCCAGTAGAAGCTACAAAAAAGCAATCAGAATGAACAAGGAGTTCAGGAAGGTTGCCAGATACAAGCTCAATATAAAAAAATTCTATATACTATGAATTAACAATCAGAAACTGAAATTTTACAAAGTAACATTTACCATAACAAACACTATGAGATAGGTAAATATGCAAGATCTCTACACTGAAAACTACAAAACACAGTTGCCATGTTATTCACAACATGGCTCTAACTGGGAAGAGCCAAAATGTTCATCAGTAACACAGAGATTAGATGAATAAATTGTGGTGTATTCATACAATTGAATATTACAAAGCAATAAAAAAGACAAATTACTGATACATGGAACAACATTGAGGAATCCCACAGACATTACTGAATTTAAAAAACCAAGCACAAAAAGAAGAGTACATATTATAACGATTCCATTTATATATGAAGTCTCGGAAGCAAAATAAGCTGTGGTGAGCGTGTTTATCTCTGGCTGGTGTGTGTGTGTGTGTGTGACTTCTTTTTGGCCTGGATGGCTATATGTACGTATTCACTGGGGACGGGGGACAGGCTGGAGGTCCCTTTGGCATATTTGGAAATGCTCAGAACAAGTAAGCTAGATGGAAGCTGGGCCCCTGCTCCTTTAAAGTGAGCCCCTGGTATGTGAGAGAGAGAGAGACAGAGAAAGAGAGAGGCAGAGACGGGGGCAATAGGCAAGAAGAAGCCTTCTAGGGTGATGAAGTGTTCTACATCTTGGTATGGCTGGTGGCAATATGAGTGCATACATTTGTAAAACATACAACTGTGCTCTTACGTGATTGTATTTCACCATATGTAAGTTACACCTCAGTAAAATAAAAAGAGGGAGAAGGGACATCAGTCCTTCCTTACCCACTCATGAAGTCTCCAAAGATGTACAGGCCATTGAGGTTTGGGGATTCACAACCCCGATAGACATAACCTCCAGTGACTGACTTCCCCACTGCGTGGCCATAAGCATAGATTGGCAGAACATCATCTGTCCAGGAGAGAGGAAAGAGAGTGAATGCCGTGGCCTAAAACTGAAAGCTTCAAGGAGGATGAAGGGGACTTTTTAATGCAGTCACCTAATTCAGTGAAGAACGCTTTATCTCCTGGTCTTCAGTAGGACAGACAATCAAGTGAATCATGTTTATTGTTCTCAATAGACTAGCACAATATTTGCAAGCTTCCTACTTAACCGCTATCTGCAGGCAGAGAGGAAGCCAAAAATTCCCTCCAACTATGAGGCAGGGTGACCTGGAAATCCACACAGCTAAGTTTTCCCCGTAGGTTGATATGGCAGATATCCAGGTTTAAGGATATGGAAAATGTCACAGTCTGTAAGACTGTTTTATAACTTAGAGGACAAAAAAAGACTAAGAAGTAGTGATAGAGTCAGAACACTAGAATTTTGAGCCAGGTGGAGTTTCAAGCACACCTCGATTATTACTGTTTAAAAAGCGTCCTCAGCTGGATATGGTGGCTCATGCCTGTAATCCCAGCACTTTGGGCCGTTGAGGCAGGCAGATCACGAGGTCAGGAAATCGAGACTATCCCGGCCAACATGGTGAAACCCCGTGTCTTCTAAAAATACGAAAATTAGCTGGGCGTGGTGGCGCGCGCCTGTAGTCCCAGCTACTTGGGAGGCTGAGGCAGGAGAATTGCTTGAACCCAGCAGGCGCAGGTTGCGGTGAGCCGAGATCGTGCCATTGCACTCCAGCCTGGGTAACAAGAGCGAAACTCCGTCTCAAAATAATAATAATAATAATAATATGCCTAAAATTAATGTGGGTAACTTATTTAATTCAAAATACAGATTCCTGGGTCAATCTCATTCCTCCAATCCACCCAAAATTCAAATTCTTTAGGTCTGAGGCAGAGTCTGGGAATTCACTTTTTTAAAACACCCACTTCCAAGATGTCTCTGGTGCCTTGTGAGTGGCTAGAGGACCACTTGGAGAAGTACTATGCCACAGGACACAAACAAGGCATTACATAAATGACCTTCAGGGCAGGACATTCAGGTTTTATTCCCCACCTTCACCTCCAAGCCACTCAACTCATCCAAGAAATCAGCCACAGAGCTTCTTTCTTACCCAAAGAGGCATTGTGACAAAGTTTTTTGTCGTAACACGCAAATCCTTCCTTTGCTCTCCAGCCATAGTTTCCGCCTTTCACAATGAGGTCAACCTCTTCAAACCTGTTCTGGCCCACATCCCCGCAGAATATCCGGCCTCGGCCCTGGCGCGTGACGGGGTCCCCTCGGTCTACAGCACAGCGCCACATGTTCCTGATCCCATAGGCATAGATGGCGGGGTGGGCCCCTGGCTCAGAAACAAACGGATTGTCCAAGGGGACTCGGTACCGCATACCATCTGAGCCCGCCCTGTTCACATCGATCCTTAAAACTTTTCCCAGCAGGGAACTTCTGAAAGAAAGAAGGCCCAGAAACAGAATCAGGTAAACGAGGAAAGCCACAGGACTGAAGAGTCCACCCATAAGGGCCGACTCATAGTTGATGCCAAGAGACTGCTGGAGATCACATGGGAAGATGTAACTTCTTATTTTCCTTTTTTTTTTTTTTTTTTTTTTTTTTTTTTACCAGCAAGAATGAGCTTGAAGATTTTTTTTTAAATCTATACAAGATATTTAAGACTGTCTCATATTTGGCTCAAAGAGAACTACTAGGCAAAGTGTGATGTGATCCTGGCCCATGGGACCCTGAGCAAGTTGCAGCTTCCGTTCTTATTTTAATGATGAGGACAGCTTCTCTCTGACTTGGGCCAATATGACAAATTTTTTTAAAGAAGCTGGTTATATTGTTTGTTCTTTATTTAACAACATGGTCAGTTAAAAGAATAGAACAGAAGCTTTTGAGAGGCTCTGCCCGTGACTATGGTCTCTGGGGCTGACTTTCCTCATTTGAAAGGCAGAGGAGAGTAACTGATAGCCTTGTGCCACCACTTCCTGCGAGGATGAGCAATTCCACACTCAAGTCAAGGGTGTGCGATCTAACAGACACACAATAACCAAAGGCTGCTATTACATTTAATATATTGGCCAGGTATGTGGCTCATGCCTGAAATCCCACATTTTGGGAGGCTGAGGTAGGAGGACAGCTTGAGGCCAGGAGTTCAAGAACAGCCTGGGCAATACAGTGAGACCCCATCTCTATTTAAAATATATAGCTAAATATTATTTACCTTGCAGTGTGGTTGTGATGTAAGGGTTAAGTCTTATTGTGTATATAGTGTTTAATGCAATTCCTGAATCACCGTAGGTATTTGACAAATGTTAGCTTTGATTTATTTATTTATTTATTTATTTATTTTGAGATGGAGTTTTACTCTTGTCACTGAGGCTGGAGTGCAATGGCGCTATCTCGGTTCACCACAACCTCTGCCTCCTGGATTCAAGTGATTCTCCTGCCTCAGCCTCCTGAGTAGTTGGGATTACAGGCCTGCGCCACCACACCCAGTTAATTTTGTATTTTTAGTAGAGATGGGAGTTCTCTATGTTGATTAGGCTGGTCTCAAACTCCCAACCTCGGGTGATCCGCCCACCTCAGCCTCCCAAAGTGCTGGGATTTCAGGCATGAGCCACCAAGCCCAGCCAGCTTTGTAATATTATAACCTCAATATTTTTATTACTAGAATACTAGGAGCCAAGTGCTTACTGGATGCAAAGAGCAGAAGGACCACATGACCTTTATTTAGGCAACTCAGCATCGCTGGGCTCTGGTGCCGTATCATGTGGGTGGGAATTTGTTTTCCACTTACTGTATGACCTCTGTGCCTCCATTTTCTTGTCTGTAAAATAGATATTATTATATGTATACTTCATAGGATTCATTCATTCCATGTGTAATTATGGGGCGGCTCCCTTGTGCCAGACACTGTCCTAAGTGCTGGTGACACATCAATTAACAAAATAGATATAAATTCTTGCCCTTGAAGGTTTTTAGAATTACCTTCTCAAATACATGTAAAGTATTTAAACCAGTGTCTGACAAGCTGCAAGCACCCAGTACACATTGGCTCTCAGTGTTTAATTTCTCATGTGTCTCCAGGGCCTAGCGCAGTGCCTGGAACACAATGTTCAATAATATTATTGAGTTGAATTGAATTAAATGATTAGTGTGGTAAATAATGACCTGCTAATATATATTTAAAATCCTAAATTCTCCTTTACATAACATTCTGACGGTTATATTGAGCATCAGTAAGATTAACTACCAAAATATACTATGTGTGAAAGTTATGCAACAGAAAACCCATTGCCCCATCGGAGTGGACCACATCTTGCAGTATATGATTTGAGTTTGATGCCATCCCTGCAAAAATGTCATAGCAGGGTCTCACTCTAAAGGGACAGGGGCCCAGCCTCCATCCAACTTACTTGTTCTGAGCATTTCCAAACATGCCAAAGGGATCACCAGCCTGTCCCCCGTCCCCAGTGAATATGTACATATAGCCATCCAGGCCAAAAAGAAGTTGTCCACCATTATGGTTTGAGGCTGGTTCTTCAATCTCCAAGATGACCCTGGAAGAGAAAAAAGAAACCATGCATTAGGCTTTGACACAAGCTGAAGCTGCACCGTCTTGAGATACCCAAAAATGACTGGTCCAAGCCACCAAAATTTGCCAGGCCAGTAAGACCTGCTTCTGAGTTTTGAAGGATCACAAAGTACGTAGCTTTGGGTCTCTGAGATGCCGCTTATTTCCTGGCATAACTCTTTCATGGCTCATTTTTTTCTTTTTTTTTTGAGACAGAGTCTCACTCTGCACCCAAGCTGGAGTGCAATGGTACAATCACAGCTCACTGCAACCTCTGCCTCCAGGTTCGACCAATTCTCTTGCCTCAGCCTTCCTAGTGGCTGGGATTACAGGCACGGGCTGCCACCATGCCTGGATAATTTTTTGAGACCTTGCTCTGTAGCCCAGGTTGGAAGGCAGTGGCACAATCTCGGCTCACTGCAACCTCTGCCTCCTGGGTTCATGCGATTCTCCTGCCTTAGCCTACTGAGTAGCTGGGGACTCCAGGCATGTGCCACCACGCCCAGTTAATTTTTGGTAGAGACTGGGTTTCACCAGGTTGGCCAGGCTGGTCTTGAACTCCTGACCTCAAGTGATCCACCCGCCTCGGCCTCCCAAAGTGTTGTGATTACAGGCATGAGCCACCATGACCAGCTAATTTTTCTTTCATGCCATGACTTGATCAGCTGTGGACCCGGCCAGGGTAACAACCGTCCTTTTCTAGGGCTTGCCTTTACTATCTGCCCTATCAGGATGTTCCATCCCTTCCTTCGAACAACTTAAGAGGGTTAATCTATCAGTTCTTTATGCTTTTTGCAATCCCCCAACCTGTCTACAATAAGAAAAGAGGCAAGAGAGAAAGGAGAAGAAGGAAAAAAAAAAAGGCAGAGCGGTAGAGCGGAAACAGCACAGCTTTGGATCAGTGAAAACAGTCCTCACCTGGCCAGGCATCCAATAGCTTGATGGCCTTGTATCACAGCTTCCAGTGAGAATGAGAAATCCCACATTCAAAGTAAAGGGCCTGGGATCTAATGGCCGCATAATAATCACAGGCTACTATTATGTTTCATAGGTTGATACTATCTACCATCTTTTCTCAGATTCCTATGGCTGCTGGTCCTTGCTTACCCTTTGTAAAGACAGGCAAGCATGGCTTCACTTAGGGTAACTATAAGGTGACGGCTACACCCCATTAAACAGCCTTGACTCAAGACCCTAACCTGGGCCTGCCGCAATCAGCAGTGACTCCTTTCTCAACAGGTGCAGTAAACAGTTGCTGTAAAACCAGTAAATTCCCCTCTACTGTCTCACGGGCCTGCCATTATTTCGGAACACAGCACAGCTGTAGACTCTCGTGAGTATGTCTCACCTCTCTGATTTCAGGTCAGCTTTGTTGGGATCGGCCCGGGAAACCTTCATCTCACTAATCCGGATCTTTTCTACCTTCTTCTTGTCCAGGCACGAATAATAAATGTAGAACTTGCGGTTGCGGCGGAATTTGGGGTGAAAAGCCAACCCCAAGAAGCCCCTCTCATCCCCGATCCACGGGGTGGTCAACACGATGTTCTTGAGGTCCAGAAAGGGTTGCTCCAGGCGACTGCCATCGGGGAGATAGACCCACACCACTCCCACCTGCTCGGCAACGAAGGAGCGATGGGTGCCGTCCCCAGCATGGACCATGGCGACGGGGTTCCTGAGCCCGTTGGCCACCTCGCTCAGGCAGAGCTGCAGGCAGCCCCGGGGGTCCTGGGCCACCACGCCCAGGTTGCGGTTGAGATAGTCGTTCCTCAGCACGTTGGGGAAGCAGTAGTCCTTGTCAGGAAGGTCCAGGCGGTGGCAGAAGCGGGCGCCATCAGTCCCGGGCGACTCCTGGAGGCCGCGGTCGCTGGTCAGCAGGGAGATGGCGGAGTGGCAGTTGGAATGGAAGGCGGAGCAGTAATCAGAGCAGAGGCCGGGGAGGTTCCGGAGGGGCGTCTGAGGGTTCTCGGCGTCGTAGAGGTGGGCCGCGTAGGGCGAGCACTCCTGGAAAAGAAGGCGGAGCGCAGGCTCAGCCTCAGACCCGCCGCACCCGCGCTTCCCTCAAGTTTTAAGCAAGCAGAAAGGAAAAATGGCCCTGGGGGAAGAAACTCAGGATTCTGGAGTTTTTGTTACCAGCGGCTGCTAAATCTCTTCTCTGTGATTTTCTGCCCAGTTAATGCTCCTGGAAGTCAGAAAGGGGGGGAAAATCTCTCATAGTCACTATATTGTCTCTAACATTTCAGCTTAGTTTTTGACATTTAAAGTTTTATTAAATGATGCATGAATTTTTTTTCAAAAGGATGTTACTAAATTTCTCACTGTTTTTATTTTTTTAATTTTTATTTTATTTTTCATAGAGACCGCCTCACCATGTTGCTCAGGCTGATCTCAAACTCCCAGGCTCATGTGATTCTCCTGCCTCCTCCATCTCCCGAAGTGCTGGGATTACAGACATGAGCCACTGTGCCAGCCCAGCCTCCTTTCCTTATGGATGCTGTATCTACCAAGATTTTATTTCTCTATACAAATCTGAAACAATTTGGAAAAAAAAAAATTCCCATTGGTTCAAATCTGGTTGTTGGACATAAACAGTATTATTTATTTTTTCTGTGCTTTTCCATATTTTTGGAATATTTTACAATGAAAAATACAGTTATCAAAATGCACATTGGATGTATCATTCTAAAGATTAGGTGGCTAGCAATTTCTTCAATTATTTATTTAAAATATTTCAGTGTTTAATATATGCAAAGTACCATGCTGGAACCTATACACATTTGAATTGTGGCAATAGGGATGTATGGCTGCTCCTTACGCAGACGTGTGAGGACTGTTTGCCCAAAGGAGTATCTGCTACTCAGACATCCCTAGACTATAACATTTTTTAGGAGGAAAATAGAATATTGTGAGCAGACGAGTGACTCCCAGTAGTAATGAAAGACAGAGGCAACTGAGATTAGGAAGGTAAGAAAGTCCAATTCAAGGCTGGGCACAGTGGCTCATGCCTAGGCAGGCAGATCACCTGAGGTCAGGAGTTCGAGATCAGCCTGACCAATATGATAAAACGCCGTCTCTACTAAAAATACAAAAATTAGCTGGATGTGGCGGCAGGCGCCTATAATCCCAGATACTCAGGAGGCTGAGACAGCAGAATCGCTTGAACCTGGGAGGCAGAGGTTGCAGTGAGCCGAGATCACGCCATTGTACTCCAGCCTGGGTAACAAGAGTGAAGCTTCATCTAAAAAAAAGAAGAAGAAAAGAAGAAAACAAAATCCAATTCAGAGTGTTGTTGGAGCCATGCATTAGAGCAGAGTTCACCCACCAGCCCAGGAGCCCCTTCTGATCACTAAGGACTCTCCTGAGCCAGCCAGCCTGGGCAGAGTCGTCTCCTTCACCTCCCTGCTCCCCCCATTTCGCAAAAGGACCAGCAGCATTTTTCATGTATATGGGAGTTCCCTTTTCTCTCTTATTTCCCCTGACTGTAGATTGCAGAGCCAGCTCTCAGTCATTGCACAGAGGGGAAGAAGGAGCCCAGAGATTCACAGCGGCTCCCCTACGGCTGTTTCCATTTAAGACACTTATCACAGCAGCTATCGAGGCAACATGACCCTCTCTGAAGTGTCCCCTCATTGATTCTGTGCACTCTCAGAGAGTGGGAAAAAGAGAGAGGGGAGACTGAAATAAGGATGCAATACTAGAGAATAGAAGGGGGCTGTGGAAAGAGAACCACAACTATGGCACACTCTCATGCAGCCATTTAGAGTTTGCAAAGTTGCTACTACTCAATTAGCTCAGTAACTAAGCAGATACTTCCCTACTTTAAAGGGAAGAAAAATCAGAGCCCATAGAGTCTCTAGCCAGGCACAGCGGCTCACACCTGTAATCTCAGCACTTTGAGGGGCTGAGGTGGGTAGATCACCTGAGGTCAGGAGTTCAAAACCAGCCTGGCCAACATGGTGAAACCCTGTCACTACTAAAAATACAGAAACATTAGCCAGGAATGGTGGTGCACACCTGTAGTCCCAGGTACTCAGGAGGCTGAGGCAGGAGAATCACTTGAACCTGGGAGGCAGAGGTTGCAGTGAGCCAAGATGCGCCCCTGTACTCCATCCTGGGCAACAGAGCAAGACTCTGTCTCAAAAAAAAAAAAAAAAAAAAGTCCTCTGTGACTGTCCTGTTGAGCCTCTCTTACATGCCAGGCACTGTTCTCATGCAGCAGTGAGTGAAACGCACAAAATCTGTCTTCTAATGGAGCATATTTTTGGGGGAGCTCAGAAAACTGCTAAGTAAACAAGCCAATGCTGCTGTTCCTGTACTTTAGCACGGTGTAATCTAAAGGGCGCAAGACTTGGAGCCTAAGCATCTAGCTCTGTGCCCCAGGACTGTTTTACCTTGGGTACGTAATCTAAAACTCTTGAGCCCTCACCAGTAAAATGAGGATCATAACAACTGCCTGCAGAATCATTGTACCCAGCAAGGATTCTACAAGTGTCAAGGAAGAAAGAAGACCTTACAAATGTGAACAAATAAACGTGAAGGATTGTTTGGCTGAAATTGTTCTTATTCCTCAAATCCCTAAAACAACGGAGCTGCTGACTTTGACTTTCTGAAGCCTCACGCAAGAGGGAAGGATCAGGTGTAGACGATTTTACCGGGGGAGATCTCAGAAATAAACATTCTCAGTGCTGCTCATAAAACCTCAGCTTCTACCCTAATGAGTATCCTAGAGTTAATTCTCCAGGAAACAGTAGAGGGGTGGTACCTGAGAGTACAGCCCCAGGCGGTGCCACCCAGGTGGCTGAACTTTCTGAGCCAGGCTCAGCTGTAATTCTCTCCTGGCCTCTGGGAAGCTTGGTTAACCACTCCGCACCCTGTGTGGGAGTTATACGGTGGTCAGCAAGTTCAGGAACAGTGGCACCAGGAGTCATGAAGAGATGCCTGCGGATAGCCCAAGCATTGCGCTGAAAAGCCCAAGAGGGTCTCAGATCAAAAGGCTGCCTGGACTTCCTGTCTCTCCTCCCGATCATCATTAGAGGGGTTCTCCCCATGCCACCTCTTTCATCAGCTTTCCAAATGCTGACCTCTCCCCATTCACCCCAAACACCCTCTTCCTACAAAGTCTGTGTGTGCAGCCTGCGCCCGTCTTGTTTTCAGGCTGAGCTCAACCAAAACGATGCCTCCCAGGGATGTGGATTTTGGCTGTTGAGCAGCCAGGAGAAGCAGAAACTGTGAGTCACTGCTACTCAGCAGCTTGTATCTCTCTCTCCCAGTTCTGGAGTATTAAGCAGACAGAACTTTGGGGAGAGTCCCCAACCCCTGCCGCTGCCACTGTCACACCAGAGATGATCTGGCACAAATCACCCAGATGAGAAAGGACTGAACCCCAGCAGATGCTACCACCCCCTCCCTTAACGCACTTGGTAAATGCCATGGGGATAAGTGCCTAACTCTCTGAGCATGGCAGAGGATGCAAATAATTATTTGCTATGCACCGCAGAGGGAGCGTGGCAAATAATGGCTACTCTGAGAACTCCAGGAAGAGTATCCCTCTCATTCTCCTGGAGGCTGGGGAAGAATCAGGGCCAGCAGAATCCCAGAGGGAGAGCTTTGAGGAACTCATAGAGATCAAATTCAGCACACCTTCACGTCAGTGTGCCTGTCCAAAGCCCGCAGCTCCAAGGTGAAGCACCCAGCACGTGAACTTCTAAAGGGCTGGGCTACCGAAGCACCCCTCCCCTCAGGACCCACACCATGCAGCCCAGCACACGAAATCCTGGGGCTGGAAGGCACTTTTACTACCTGGCAAAGGATGTCTTTAATGTAATCTCCACACAGCTTATGTCTCTTCAGATCAAAGTATTCCATGATGTCCCAATACCGGGCAGCGATGCGGCGGTCCTTGTGCTGGTCACAGCAGCCGAAGGACTCATAGTCAGAGCAAAACTCAAGGTGCAGAAGGGGCCGGAAAGGGGGCCCATAATCCAGGCACTGGGGGTGTCCCTGCAGCAAGCCCACCTGGCCCAACAAGAATGTGAGGCAGAGGCAGAGAATGCCAGAAGAGAGCCAGGGGGCCCAGCAACGCGGACCACCACGCACACTAGGAGTGGACATTCTCAGCATTTTGGCCTTGGGAACACTCGGGCTGCTGTGTTTGCTCAGGTTGGCTTCCCCGCTCTGCCCAAGATCCTCCCTCTCTTCCTCCCCCTACTCCACCCCGTTTTCCCTTCCTTCCTCCTCTTCCCCTCCTCTCCCTGCTGAGGTGGTTTCTGAGCAGTGTCCCTTCTGTGGGCTCCCTTTGAAAACAGTGAGAAGTGTCCCTTCCGCCTTCCTCAACCCATCTAAACACGAAGCCCCACTCTAGGCTGCTAGTGTTATGGGGTCACATGTTTACTTAGCCAAAAGTGCAATGGTGTCAATGGCAGAGGTGCTTGGATTCCTTAAAACTGCAGAGAATTCCTGCTGTGTGTGGGGAGGCCCGGAAATTTACACTTTTTTACTGTTTCTTCCCAGAGTCATCATGAGAACACCACGGATTATGTCATCCCAGACTTCACACTCTGTGGAAGGAAAGCTTCAAGCATTCCTACAGTGCTGAAGGGCACCAAGGGGGTGGGGGACATGGAGGGACCATGGCAGGAGGCAGGGTGTGCTGCATAGCTCCTCGGATCTGGCAAGGTATGTATTTGGAATGGTAGGAAGAGAGGGCATTTCATTAATCTTGCATCCACAGTAAGGACCAAGGAGAGGAAAGAGGGAGGACGCAGCGAAGGAAAAGGAGGAGGGATCTTAGTCCGTGCTGCTGTAACAAAATACCACAGAGTGAAAGTTACAAATAATGGAAATGTATTGGTCATAGTCACCGAGGCTGAAAAGTCCAGGATCAATATGGCAGTAGGGACTGGGTGTGGTGGCTCATGCCTGTAATCCCAGCACTTTGGGAGCCTGAGGCAGGAGGATCACTTGATCCCAGGAGGCTGAGACCAGACTGGAAACATTCTGAGACCCAATCTCTAAAAATATAAAAAGAAAATTAACCAGGCATGGTGGTGCACACCTGTAGTTCCAGCTACTTGAGAAGCTGGGTCAGAAGAACTGCATGAGCCCAGGAGTTTGAGGCTGCGGTCAGCTATGATCACGCCACTGCTCTCCAGCCTGGGCAGCAGAGCAAGACCATCTCTAAAAATAAGAGATGCCAACAGGTTTGCTGTCTGGTGAGGGCTCTGTTCCTCATTGATGGTGACTTGTTGCTACATCCTCCCACGGTGGAAGGAACAGAAGGGTTCAGATCCACTCCTTCAAGACCTTTTATTAGGACCCGAATCCTACCCATGAGGCTTCTACCGTCAAGACCTAATCACCTACTAAAGGCCCTGCTTCTTAATACTATCACATTGGCGATTACATTTCAATCCGTGAATCTGAGGTAGGGAGGGACACATTCAGACCATAGGAGAGGGAGGGTGGTACAGTGAAAACAAGGAGTCAACAAGGAATGTTTGGGACAATGTCCCCAGGAAGCACAGGACGACTGGGTGCCTTCCTTTGCCAAATCTATACCTGCTATAGGGACCCTCCTTCTCACTTAGCGTATGTTCCACTTTACTTAATTTAAAAATGTGTTTTGTGGCTGGTTGTGGTGGCTCACACCTGTAATCCCAGCACTTTTGGAGGCTGAGGCAGGCAGATCACAAGGTCAGGAGTTCAAGACCAGCATGACCAACATGGTGAAACCCCATCTCTACTAAAAATACAAAAAAATTAGCTAGGCCTGGTGGCACATGCCTGTAGTCCTAGCTACTCTGGAGGATGAGGCAGGAGAATCGCTTGAATCCAGCAGGTGGAGGTTGCAGTGAGCCAAGAGCGCACCACTGCACTCCAGCCTGAGTGACACAGACTCTGTCTCAAAAAATAAATAAATAAATAAAATTAGTCAGGCATAGTGGCGGGCACCTGTAATCCCAGACGCTTGGGAGGCTGAGGCAGAATTGTTTGAACCCAGAAGGCAGAGATTACAGTGAGCCAAGACTGCGCCATTGCACTCCAGCCTGGGCAACAAGAGCAAAACTCCATCTCAAAAAATAATAATAAAAAAATAAATAATAAAAATGTGTTTTGCTTTGTACACGTCCCTTGCACATGACAGGCTTTGATAAATATTTCTTGAATGAATGAATGAATGAATGAATGCAGAACACTGAGTCCCAAACTCACACAGCCCCAAACCCAAACAGGCATGAGCCGGGCATAGGTCCACGGGGACATGTGGCACTTGAGCTAACTCTCCTTTCAGCATTTTCCATGGTTCTGGTCCACCTTAAACTTCCCTACTGGCAGAAGCTTCCGTTTGAAATGCAGATGAAGTCCAAATTTCTTCTTGTTCCAGATGTGCTTTACAGAGGACACCCAACCTGGCTGTCCAGCTTATCACCAGGAACAGCATTTGCTGGGATATCATCAAGAAGGGATAGTGAACCTCAGTCTAGCCAAGTCTATATTCACAATGTTCTGGATTATGAAAGCCCCAAGTAGCATTTAAAATACAAAAAAATTGGCCAGGTGTGGCGGTTAATGCCCGTAATCCCAAGACTTGGGAGACCAAGGTGGGAGGATCACTTGAGCCCAAAAGTTTGAGACCAGACTGGGCAACGCAGTGAGACCCTGTTGCTATAAAAACTTTAAAAATTAGCTGGGCATGTACCAGTAGTCCTAGTTACTTGGAAGCCGAAGGTGGGAGAATTGCTTGAGCCCAGGAGTTCGAGGCTGTGGTGAGCTGCGATCACACCACTGCACTCCAGCCTAGGTAACAGAACGAGACCCTGTAGGTAGGTAGGTAGGTAGGTAGGTAGATAGATGATAGGTAGATAGATAGACAGGAGGGAGTAGTCAGAATGATTATCAGCACAGTCTTGCTTTCTTATTTGTACTGTTCAGTATTACACCTAGTTAGCCAGAAGCAGTGGCTCACACCTGTAATCTCTTTGGGAGGCCAAGGCAGGTGGATCACTTGAGGCCAGGAGTTTGGGACCAGCCTGGCCAACATAGGGAACTCTGTCTCTACTAAAAACACACACACACCAAAAAAATTAGCTGAGTGTGGTGGCACACACTTGTAATCCCAACTACTCAGGATGCCAAGGCAGGAGAATTACTTGAACTCAGGAGGTGGTGGCTGCAGTGAGCTGAGATCACACCACTGCATTCCAGCCTGGGTGACAGAGTGAAACTCAGTCTCAAAAAAAAAAAAAAAAAAAGCATACCTAGTTGAGTGGTGTTTTTTAAAACATGGATCACACCTATAATCCTAACACTTTGGGAAGCCGAGGTGGGTGGATGGCTTGAGCCCAGAAGTTTGAAACCAGCCTGGGCAACATAGTGAGACTCTGTCTCTACAAAAAAATAAAAATAAAAAATTAGCCAGATGTGATGGTGCATGGCTGTGGTCCCAGGTACTTGGGAGGCTGTGTAGGAGGACTGCTTGAGCCCAGAAGGTCAAGGCTGCAGTGAGTCATTATTGCACCACTGGACTCCAGCCTGGGTGACAGAGTGAGACCCTGTCTCAAAATAAAAATAAAATAAAATAAAATAAATGTTGTCCATGATTCACTGGTAACTGTGCTATTTCTTCTGGGTTGTTTGCTCAAATGTCACAGAATGTCATGGTTCTGGAAGCCTTGAGCAGGAGGAGTAACATTGGACTAACTTCAGCCAGTGAATTCACCCGTATTGCCTTCTCAGAACCATCTAACCCTGGGATGTGTTAAGAATGAGTGCATTCTCTCATTCATATGGGACCTGGGAGTATTTTCTAATCTTCTCAAGAAATTCATGTCTCCGTTTTCCCTTTGCCATGAAAAATATAGAAATCTTATTGTTTTGAGCAGAGTCACTGCAAGATTAGCAGGGAAAGATCGGCAGGCAGAATCTGATCAGACATAGTGACAGCATGAGTTTCTGATTATTAAAATATGTAACATTTCAGAAGATGCTGAATTTTAGATATAAGTGTATAATATGTATAATTATATAATAATCATGCAATAATTTTACAAAAGATTTCGTGGTGTTAATTCAGTAAATACATATTATTTTGTCTGAAGAATGCTGGAAGAGAAATGTTTAACAGAAAACTAACATATAAAACATTTTCAAGGAGTTTGTGCTCTGAGAAGAAAGGATTAAAGTATCCAAATAATACAAGACAGACATAAGATTAAGATAACAGCCAGGAACAAACTGCTATTAGGGATCACAAGGAGGGAGAGATGACATTAGACTGCATGGGGATTAAGAATATTGTAATCAAAGTTGAGTGGGGCTTTTAGATAAGGTATGGATGGAAAAGAACAGAAAACACATTTTCACTGAGTGTTAGGTGAGCTTATGAAATAACTCTGGAACTATAAGCTAGGACCAGACAGAGTATCTGAAATCACTCAGCTTCCACTTTTGAAGCAAACATAATCCTTTAAAAAAAATTATTTAGTTTGCTAGGGCTGCTGTAACGCAGCCACAGACTTGGTGGCTTAAAGAACAGAAATGTATTGCCTCCCAGCTCTGGAGCCCAGACATCTGAGGTTGAGATGCTGGCAGGGTTGGTCCCTCCTGAAGGCCGTGAGCGACACTGCTCCATGCCCGATCTCTAGCTTCGTGGGGTCTGCCAGCAATCTTGCGTTCCTGGATTATGGATGCATCACCCCGAGCTGTCTTCATGTTCACATGGTGCTCGTTCTCCCTGTGTGCATTCATGTCCAAATTTCCCCTTTTCATCAGGACACCAGTCATACCGGATTAGTGCCTACCATAATGACTTCATTTTAACATGATTCTCTCTGTAAAAACTATCTCCAAATGAGGTCACATTCTGAGGTATTGTGGGTTAAGACTTCAACAATTCTTTTTTAGGAGACACAATTCAGCCCATAGCAGTAGCACACATTAACACACACACACACACAGTTTCACATAGCATGCACATTTTTACTTTTTTTCCCCCCAAGACAGGGTCTCACTTACCCAGGCTAGAGTGTGGTGATGCCAGTAGCTGGAACTGCAGGTGTGTGCCACCACGCCCAGCTAATTTTTGCTTTTTTTTTTTTTTTTTTTTTGTAGAGACAGGGGTTATACCATACTGCCCAGGCTGGTCTTGAACTCCTGCACTCAAGTGATCCACCTGCTTCGGCCTCCCAAAATGCTGGGATTACAGGCGTGAGCCACTGCACCCGATGCAAGTGCCTTTTAAAAAGTGATATTGAGAGTCAGGTGTTTATCCTACATCACGACATGGAATAGAACAGAGAAAGTGCACACAGAAATGTCCCAGCTCAGTAGCTTCTCATAGAGCTTACCGATGTAACTATCTGTCTGCCTCCAGACATCTCCCTCTCTGTCTAAAGATGAATAGATGTACCTAAGATTAGAGAAGATACAACTTATTTGCACGAAGCACTACAGTTCACAAAGTATTTTCTCACACTGCATTTCATTTGACCTTCAATTCTCTCGAGACAATTATGTAAGCAAGGTACATACCATATTACCAGTGAGCATGAATGAATTAAGTCCAGGAGGGGTTCAGTGAAATATTTTAGGGCCCCAATTTAGATGAATAGAGATGGCAACACAATTCAGGTATTCTGAATTACAGCCCAGATCTTTTTTCATTCCATCATGATATACCCCAAAAGAATGAAAGTAATCACTTTTACTTGTTCTTCATTTAGAAAAATTTGTGTTGGATGCA